GTTTTATTTTATGTGCACTGAAAACTAGAATATTGTATTGTCATCTAAATTAAATGTGTGTACCAAATTTCAGATCAATCTGACAACAGGAAGGTGCTTAAATTTCAATTTCTAATTTTGACCCAAATAAACAAATAAATTCCGTACGGGTCGAGCTAAATAAAACCGTTTAATAACACAAAATAGTAATAATATCACTAGTAAGTTAACACAAAATTGTTTTCTTCTTCTATTGCTTCTCTCCCTTTTTATCTCATCTCCCTACATAGTATAAAAGAAATTCGTCCCGCTGTCTGTCTGTCCATATGTATGCTTAGATCTAAAAAACTACGCTTCGAATTAGATGCGGTTTTTTTTTACTAGATAGAGTGATTCAAGAGGAAGGTTTTATATTTATAATACATTGTACCCGTGCGAAGCCGGGGCGGGTCGCTAGTGTTTAGATAAAAAAGAAGCAGGAAGAGCAAGGTAGACCCAAAAGTAATGATCAAAAACCACGGCGTTCACAGGAACTAAAAAAATTTGCAAGTTGATTATATGGTTATCATCGTTGCAAACTCCTTCACTTGAGAGACTACTTTTGCATCTACTAGTTAATTATTTATAAAACTATTTAAAAATATTCTATATAATAAAATAAAACTAGATAAATTATATTTAATAATTAGAATTGCTTTTGAAAAAAGATGTTTCTTACCTGGTTAAGCTGTTCCAGAGCATTCCTTGTGTACTCGTAGCCCTGGTCTGTGAGTGCTTCTTGGGGAGTTCCGTACTGCATAGAGGGCTTGGTGGACCGAGATGTTGGTGCACCGTATTCCAGGGAAGGGGATCTGTCAAATTTAGTGATGGTGGTCAAAGTATTTCATTGATATTGGTAACTGTTATTGTATGGCATCCGGTTTACGCCAACAATCGTCCTGAGACTCGGCGTTTAATTCGCTTTTTTGAACATATTTCCTTTCTCAAGACTATTAGTAGTAATAGATAGAGAATAGAAAACCATTACAAAATTTAATGTTTCATCTTAAGTGCGCAGATTAACACTATAAAAACTTTAAAAGTATTAATAGATAGCATGCAGCTCTTAAGATCTTAAGGTAAACTTGCGACGCCATTGCTATAGTACATCACCAAAAGAGTGTTAAAATAGACCATGATCATTGCTTAGAAAAAATAGATAAAAGTTACGCTCACACTCACCTCCCAGAGGCATATGACGAAGCAAACGCGTTTGTGTTTAAATTCGATCTCCCGAAGTTAGCCGCGTCGTAAGACCTGCCGTCCTGGTACGGGCTTCTACCATTGGGTTCTCCAAAAGATGTTGGCAACGAGTTGGTGGATTCGCCAAATCCGGTAACGCTATTCCTTGCTGATGGAGTGTGATGTTGAGACGAGAAGGAGAGAGATGGTGTCCCATAATTCTGAGCAGAGCTCCGCGACCTTTGCAATTGCGAGGTTCGTGATCCAAACGAGAAACCGTTTGAAAGGTCATGCGATTGTGATAGAAGGGAGTTCTTAGGCGTGCCGTATTCTTGTGCGATAGACTTTGAGTGAGATTGGGCACTGCGGAAGTTGGGAACTCCGTACTTTTGAATTGGAGAGGACTGAGCGGTAAATTCGTTGGATGTACGGTATTCAGGAGCACCATATTGCGATGATGGTGAATCTCTCAGTGATGGAGCACCGTATAAGTTGGATGGGGAGTTTCTCAAAGACGGAGCCCCATACCTTTGGGACACACCTGTCTTTAAGTTGGCCGATGAGAAGCTCCGAGCCAAATCGGAGTGGGTTGAATATTGCTGTGTGTCACGAGTTATGGGTGCCCCATACTCCTGAGATATTCCGCTCCTAAAGGTCGATGCACCGCGTGCAGGTAGTCCATATTCTTGAGATAGTCCTCCACGTGTGTTGGGTGTTCCGTACTCCTGGGAAACGTCTCTGGTGCTTGGTGGGAGGTATTGGTTAGAGAGGTCGTTGAAAGATGTAGTAGTTCGTGCGGACGGAACGTTGAAGTCTGGTGGTAGATACTGTTGGTTCACGGTCGGGTCGTGGTCGAAATTTAACGCTTCCAAGGAGCTGTCCCTGAAATAGTGTTAAATTTCTCTACATAATGAAGAAGATTCGTCTTCTAAGCTTCTTCACGATCATTGTAATGAATATGAAGATCAGAATATGGATAAAAGTGGTAAGAATAATTAATTTATTGATTTAAAAAAATCTTTAATTAAAAGATAATATTACTTTTATCAAACAAGGAAAACATTACGCTTGACGATAAAGTACCATGCACGATAATACTACTACGGCTAAGATAATAATGAAATGGAAATCATTTCATGAACTAACAATACATTGGATTGCTTATCATTTTAAACTTTACGCAAATCTTGAAAATTACTTAAATTTAATTTACTTTCAATTTTGGCTACGTAAATTGTATCACTTACCCCACTGGTGGTTCTGCTACCGCCAAGGAGAGCATACAAAGTAGAATAAACATCTGGAAAATAGTGAAATGAACATTGTGAGTTCCTTTGTTATTCAAACTATAATATTATAAATGCGAAAAAAAACTCTGTCTGTCTGTTTCGCTTTCACGCAAAAACTACTGAACCGATTTAAATGAAATTTGGCACACAGATAGTCTAGAGCCTGAGAAAGGACATAGGCTATTTAAGGGCTTCAACCCGAGCGAAACCGCGGGCGAAAAGCTAGTAATTTATATGTTCTTAATACAAAATTGTTCTGTCAGGCCGCGAATGCCGAAGACATAGGTTCGATCCACAGCGGCGACAATCTTTTCTACAAAATTTCAATGTTAAATTTTCAGTGCAGAGATTAGCACCATAAAAAAATATAAAAAAGCAATGGCGACATTTCTCGTTCGAATTATCGTTGTAAAACGATATTCGAAAATATTTGTATGCTGGACAGGATAAAACAATGGTTGCGCCAAGCATTGTTTAATGCTAAAAAACAATGTAGATAAAAGACGTTAAGATTTTCGTTGGTGTGGCAGTCAGCCGTTTGGCTTAGTGGCTAAAGCGTCACGCCGCGAATGCCGAAGACGTGGGTTCGATTCCCACAGCGGCGACAATCTTTTCCTACTTTTTCTAGAACATTTAAATTTTTCTACAAAATTTTAATACAAAACAGTTTTTCTACCTACCGTGGAGACTTAAAGCTGAACCGATTCCGCTGAATAAGGGCTGTTGAATACATCATCCGAAATGCGATGCACTATTTATAATGCTTGTAATTTGACTGTAAGCGAGTTTCATCCCGTTTCGTTTGGAGATTTCAAAATGCGATGCACGGTAAACTGAACTCTATTGTAACGTGCTAAGACCGCCTGCTGTAGGTTTTGATGCAAACTTATCGTGGTACAGCTGTGCTATTGTTGATAAAGCCTTCGGATGTGCGTGACGACACCATCTCTCGTATGTGGATCAATATCGCTTAAGGTGATAGTTAAGAGATCGATTTATCGTGATTTTGAGACACTATCAGAATCAAGGTACATATTTCACAATAAGCCGTTTATAACACCGTTTTTTGAAATTAAAAGGCTATGACGATTATACTTATCGAGCTATTAACTTCTGAATCTATATTTTTTTTAATATGAGAAAGTGGCAAACGAGCGGGTGGTTCCTGATATTGAGTGATAACGCCGTCCACGGACATTTGCAACACCTGTAGGGTTGCAGAATGCGTTGCCACCTTTTAATAAAATGGGATTCAATATGGTGTTTAGTAGCTTAGGAAGATCTGTTTAGACGTTAGAATAATCATGAGCTCATTTCGTACTTGGCAAAAAGTGTCTTTTTAACTTTCGCAGATCCGATTGATTTGAAATTTACTCTACTGTTACTTCGGGGGTATTTCCAAGTATTGCTAAGGTTTACAGCTGTAGTGTCAAGTAGACTGCGGGGTGCTCAATTCCTCAGAATTTTATAGTATATGATGACCCGAATGACGTAGAGGGTAGTGAACATGCATTCGGGTGTGGATTCGATCCCCACTACTTTAAAAATATTGGATATTGCTGTGACGTATTTTTCAACATCCATCTACCGGCGTCATACCCATTGTTGTTCCGGATCTGGGTGTTTGTTTCCCAAGGGGGGTTGACATAGCCAAACCGCTTAGAACACGTCTCACGTGTTGCGCCGACCCCACCTAGGTGGGATAAGGGAGGATGCTGATGTCTTATGATATACAATTCACGCATTATAATCGCATCATTCACGCAAAACGGAATCAGCGATTCTGATTGGCCAATTGTTCATCTTACAAACTGCAAATTATGTCTGGTTTGACAGGCCTCTAATTATCGAGTGTAGTTCAAGAGTCAATGTGTATGCGTGATATCAAGAATAACATTATCTATTAATTAGTATTCTATTCTAAGTAAACTGATTTGTCCATCTGTAAATTACATATAATCTTTTAATGATTAAATGACTTTTTTTCTTTATAAAATACATGCAAATAAATTGTATATTTATTAATGAGTTTATTTGGATTAATTGTAAAATAATAGGACAGTTAAATAAATGTAGTAAAAATTTTTTCCCACGTTTTTAAAAATATTATCTCATTATTAAAATATTTGTTAGGGCTTCTGCTGAGGACATATTACCATACTAACTGTCTAAGTTTACTCGGTAAATGATTATATTTAATTAGCCTTACAGTTAAAAAAAAACAATTATATATTAAAATAAGATTGTAACTGTAGGAGTAGATATATAACTGTACGAGTAGATATATAGAATAAGATTGTAACTGTAGGATTGTACCTTAACAGTAGGAGTATAACAATTTAAGTAATTCTTTTGCCTTACACTGATAAAAAGGTGAAGGGGCAATCTAAATAGGAAAAATCATGAGCATTATGAACGTGGTTGCGGCAAAGAAATAACGTATAACTTATTACATTAACAAAAAAGTTAAGTCAGTTTAAAATGACAAAATTTATTGAAAGAATTATCCTCATGAGCATTTTTGCGGTGACAGTTGAATGTAAGATTTCCATAGATATTAATGTTGGTACGAACGCTAGTGATATCACAGTGGTCCATTCGGGTTTCGAAGCGAACGTTGTTGGTGACCGAGAGATCGAATTGTTTAACATTGGGAAGACTAATATTAGGAAGGCGGTCAAAGATCATTACGGCAGGGCTCCGAGCAACGTATATCTGAGAAGCCCGACGCCATGGGGCGATCTGTACAGGACGTACAACTGGGAACAGGTCACCAGAGTGTTGACAATCAAGTCGGCGAGGGTGAAAGGCGTGACGAGGAAGCCGATGATAGTGATGTCCCACGACTTCGAGAATATGTCGAATGTATCGATAAAAGTCAACACCGGCATCAGTCAGACTGTGGAGAACACTATCGCTACGAGTTGGTCGAGGAGCAAGGAGGTGACGGTTTCACAGGAGATAGACTACGAGGTGAACGTCCTGTTCGCCAAGGCGTCCGGCACTACGGGCATATCCTTTACGAGCAGTTGGGGGGAGACTGAGGAGAGAGCCGAGAGTACTACAGTTGGAAGTAGCAGTGAAGTGGAGACGGAATTGCTGCCAGGTCAAGCGGTGACCGCCGTGCTGACAGCGAGTAGGGGTGCCTTAGAGGTCGAGGTCCTTTACGTTGAAACGCTGCGCGGAAATGTTGCTGTCAATTTCAAGAATGCACTCGACGGTCATCACTTCCGGGGACCTTCCATTGACGCTGTCATGAAGAGCGGCGGTTTGAAGAATGAGATTGTGGTGAAGGAAACTATCAGACTAGGCTTCTATACGGACGCATCGTTAAAGGTGTTCGATAAAGTGACTGGAGTTCCTGTCTAGATCGATGAAAATGTTAATTTGTTTATTAAAAAAGTATCTTGACGAAAGTGAAATTGTCAGTGTTATTAAGGACGAAGTAGTGTAAGTTCTACGAGATGTATTTAAACGGTTTCAAAATCAGATCCCAGTGGAGACTGATTTTTTCTTGGTTTTCGTAACTTAATAATAATCTGCCTCGCTACCTTTACAAGATATATATATTTCGAGTTTGACTTAGTTAAGATTTTTAATGTCATGTTTTAGACATTACACTCCAAAGGAACTTATTTAACAAGCTCGCCCCGCTATGAACGTGTTGTACGTTGATAATGTTAAATTATGAAATTATGATTGCCAACTTACGAAACTGATAGTTAGCTAGCACTAATTTACATAAAATAATAGAGTTTATTTATTTATTTATTTGTTTATTTATACTTTATTGTACACCAAAAATAAAAATATATAAAAAGCAAATCACAAATGAATAAAAAAGGAAGTATAATAGGCGGTCTGATCGCTCAGAAAGCGATAATTCTTCCAGACAACCATTGTGAAAAGAACGTTTGCTAATGAGACATAAAGAAGAGAGCAGAGGGAGGTGTACATGAATCACTTATGAACATCGGATGAAGGCATTTATACGTCAATGAGATAGTCAAAGATTTCTGGAAAAATAGGAAAGGAAAAAGGAAAGCGTGAGTTCACAGTTCCAAGTAATGAGCTTTTAATAGGTTTTTAAAAGAAAGAAATGACTTAGCTTGTCGAATGTGAAGGGGCAAAGAATTCCACAAACGCACAGCTGTCACTGTTAAAGATTTTTTGAAGAAGGAAGAGGAATTATTATAGAATTATAGAGATATAGAGGATAGAGATATAGAATATAGAGGAATTATAGAGTTTATTAAGTTTGTATCTGTTTTGGGGCCGCCCGATTACCGACCAAAATTACGGCGAAATTTACTGTCATTTTCGAATGATATTTTTCATTCCCTGAAAACAGGGATAAAAGGAAATTTTCTAAAAATGAAACCTAGCTAGATCGATTTTTCGCACCCCAATCTACGCACATTCATGAAAATCGCTGGAGCCGTTTCCGAGATTCGAATTATTTATATATTATATATAGATACACACAAGAATTGCTCGTGTAAAGAATAAGAAAGATTGTTATAATACATCCTATAAAAACGGATGATCCATCTCAAACAAGTACAAAACAAATTCTAATACTCAGTGTAATGTTAGAGTTAAAACTTGATTTGATTTTTTGATTAAGATATTGTTTGTGTGCAAGAGTATAAGGCTTTTTTAAGTTCATTTATTTATTGAACCAGCTAGCTGATTATGATTGGAGATATCTCCACACGTATAAAAAATCTACATTAAGCATGGGCTGACGTGCCTTAGGTATTAACTAGTAGTCAAACTAACTTGGACAAGACAATTTTGCTTTCAACTCAATTTTAAAAGGGCAAAAGAAAAATAGTTTGTCTACGTGTGATTGTAATGGATAATGTAAAATTGAAACCATGGGATAATGCCTCTTCTACTTCACGGGAGTTTGAACTCTCACGGACAACATGGTTACGAGACAGACTGAGATATTTTGCGTTCCTAATGTACTCGCATGATCTGGGATGCCGTCGAAAAGTATATAAATGTTTCTGGTGTGTTTGGGTTAATGGTGATTGATGCGAAATAATTAATTTTATGAAAAAATAATTTTATTACACCCATGTGAAATGTGAAAATATGTACTATAAATGCGAAAATAAATTAAAACGCACAAAGAAAACTGGAATCAAATCAAATCGAATAAAATAATTGATTCATTGAAGTAAGAAATATACATTTTATCTATCGATAGTAATTTTTTAAATCTACCACCGTTTCGTAATGAGGTAATGAGGTTCCTCCAACGGAGAAGAAACAGTTGAAAGAAACTCCGTAGATATCCTCTTTGTTGTCATTTCCTGTTCCACAAACTACTGTAATGTTATACTGTATATAATTTTTTATAGAAATTGCTTAGGAGCGATCATCTCATTCCCAGGGGTTATTATCATCAATGTTTTTATTTATATCATAATAACCCTTTTTTTTTTAAAGTCTAATAAATTTCTTAAACCTTTTAACTGACAGTCTTTGCACCTTAACTGGGATTTAGTTGTAGAAGCGTAGAATAAAAGACAACTGTTACATAGCAGATAACATTTTTATTCTTAAAAATAGCATAGAAACTACAAAACCGCCTGAATAGTGTAGTTGTAATTAATAAATGTAACTGTAACAACAATTAATAATAAAATATATTTATTTTAAATAACAGCTAAATTAAGACATTAACATTAAAGTTCGTTGTCCATTGAAGTTTTCGTTGAATTGTCTCTGCGAGCATCAAATCTTCAAATAACGGCTTAAGTCTTCAAGATTTTCGACAGTTCTATAAAGCAATCGATGAATCAATTATTAAGTATTAATGTTACACAAAAAAAAAACGGTGGTAGGGCCACGCAACACTGTTGCACGAATCGGCAGGTCCGTCCGGGTAAGTACCACGACCTCACAGAAGACCGGCGTAAAGTAGAAGTGTTATACTTCTGCGTTTCGTCTGGTGAGTGTGGTCGCCGGGGCCCACTTTATTTTAAGGCAACGCATTTGTTGCCCTAAGGGTGTTGCAAATGTCCATAGGCGGCGGTCATCACTTAACATCAGGTGTACTCCAGCTCGTTTGCCACTTTCTAACATATAAAAAAAAACATCGTATTTTGGAAACAATCACAAACACTCTAGACTCTAGATCAAGTGTTTCATACTTGTACTATTATCACGGACAACAAAAATATCAAAAATCCGCGCCACGATTATTTAAAGTGAAGCATAGTAAGTAAACCGGACCGCTTATGAATGCATGCGTCACGCACTCATTTTCATCATAGTAAGCCGACCACCTGCCATTACGTGGCACGACGGCGTCTACGAAGGTACTGTGTATTCATTTAATAAATATAAAATATTACCAGCTTGTGGTCTGAAATGGTGTAGGAATAATATTAAATCCTATAAAGAAAGATCAAGAAATGACACAGTTAACACATTTATTTAACTGGTTCATTTATTATAATACGTTTGACATTTAAAAATCATTACAATCGGAAGACAAAACCTTAACAGATGCGTTAAGTGATGTTACATAGTAAATGGGTGATTTTTTCCGAAGGATTGAGTAAATTGTGTTCATTGTCCACGTACCGTGATATCATGTCCACGTACGGTGATACATAGTATAAAACAAAGTCGTCCCGCTGTCTGTCGCTATGTATGCTTAGATCTTTACAAATACGCAGCGGATCTTGATGCGGTTTAATTACTAGATTCACGAGGAAGGTTTAGATATATACGTTGCACCCATGCGAAGCCGGGGCGGGTCGCTAGTCCTTAATACAGGTGTAATTGATTTATAACCCACCGTTATACAATCTAAAGTTCCAGAGGGAGTACCCATACTGCTGAAAATCCCGTGCGTCCTCTAAGACGGATTTCCTCATTTCATCGTTCCGACTCCTCTTCGACCCGGTCTTGTTTTGGGATTGAAGCTTGAAACAGAGTGAGAGGGTACACGAGGACAGAAAGGTGCGTTAATGTTAAACTTTGTCAAGCTACAACATTAAATGTAAATAGGAATGTAATTAGAAAATAACATAGCGAAAGTTTTTTCTTTAGAACTTAAGTAAGCAAAAGAAATGTTATATGCGGAATTAATTAGTTTAATAAGAAAGAAAGATAGTAAATCATTAAAAGGGCCACTGATCTCCCTGAGTCCAATTTTAATTTAGCATCTGAAATGTTTTAGCTAGAAGTTAATCACGGATGATTTGTGAGAGAATTCGGAACTGCAGGCTGTCAGTTGGAAATTAAATCCAAATTTAAACATAAGCCTATATATATAAAAATTCCTCGAAAAAAGAGTCTGAGTGAATTGTTGAAAAATATTATTAAATAGAAATCGAATACTTTGAGGAAATCCAAATAGCAATCCCAAGTACAGTGCGATTTTTTTCTTGTTTCCACAATGTATTTCCGTTTCCACATCCGTCGTAGGCTCTGATGGGTAATACAGTAAGGCGCCGTCTTCAATACGGGGGTTCTGCAGGAATACTTCGGTGAGCATGCTACGGAAAGGCAATGCGAAATTACCCTTAAGTAATTAATATTTTAAAACAGTTTTCAATTATTAAACTATTTTTAATCTGACTCTACAACCAATTAGGTTTGACGCACAAGAAATCTTATATCAATACTCAAGTATTGACACAGTATATAAAATGTAACTGTTAAACTTTTAGAGACAAGAGAACTTCATCGTGTAGTTAATTTGCATTGAAAGGAATTGCGGCTGTCTAACCTAATGGGAAATTATCAGACTATGGCTAGAATAGATTAACCGAGTTATGACTTTAAAGAGCTGAAGTGGACATATTGAACGGAATCGTCACAGAACTGGAGGAAATAATGAAGACTTTCTTTGTAACAATTTCATATTACAAACACGGATGATGAACTGCGGGCGGGGGACCAAAATGACTTTACGTCATAAACTCTGTGTGATGTTAATCTAGCTGCAACTTAATTTAACTAAAATTTACTCACACAATTGCAAAGATCAGCACGATTTTTATCATCGTTATATTTTTGCGGTTTGTTTCTGAGGTAAAAGTGACGTCTTGCGAAGAAGCCGTACTAGTATTGGTACAGATACGCTGCAAGCGTCTGTATTTATACCCATGGACCCCAATAAAAATGCTAATGCCTGTTTAACCTATACGATTATCATCGATATTACTTTCCAAAAGAGATCGCAGTTCTTTCATTTCAGTATTAATAATGATGTACCGACAGCTTTTCTGCGATGCTAAGTTATTGCGTACCGAAAAAATTCTTTACTGTTTGATTCAAATGCTGGTGTTAAAAAAAAATAAAGTTTTAATTTTCTTTCAATTTAATTGTATGTTTGT